AATTGTATGACAGTTTAAAAAATTGATTAATTATAACAATTATACATAGAAATAAATAAATTGGATTAAAATGCCTTATACTAATTAACATAAGTATGTATTAATTATTTTTTGTTATTGTAAATTATAAGGGGTAATTTAAAAAATCTGTAATAAATACTTATTGATGTACGTGATTGTACTTATAAAAAAAATCAAAAGTAATAAGACAATAACAAGAAAATAGATTCACATATAGAGTACATTATAACTTAAATTATAGTAAGATAAAATGATGATTTGGACTCAAATTCAACCTGGAAATTAAAGATAAAGGAACATTATTTTCCCAAATACAAAGCCAAATAGTTATTTTTCTTGACTTGCAAGCTTGTTTTTGTTGAGGTGAAGTTTGGCAACTTGAGCAATGCTGGCAAGAGCTTGAATAGCATTGGAAACAATAGAGCCATTTTCTGAAGCCTCTTGCTTTAGTTGATACTCAACCGACGATTTGAGTATGCTTGAATCCTCACCTTTCTCTATTATGTGGAAGCGAACTCTGAACAGAGTAAACCCTAGTTCCAGATATCCTCCTTCAATTACCTCAGTTTCCTTGATTCTATTCTCTTTGTCTACCTTCGTGAACTTCTCTTTGTAAGAGGTTGGCCCCAATGTACCTATTTAATCTCACACCAAAAGTAAAAAGAATATTGAAAAAACATTATTATATGTCATAACAAATTTTTTTTTTATATAATTATCTGATACCTAGCTATATGGTGCATGCTGCTATCAAAACAGCAACAAAAGTAATTAAAGATATATATATATATATATATGAATTTATTATAAAAAGTAATTAAAGATATTTACCAGGAACAAATGTTAATTTGAGGACAGTTCCAACTCCTCCATCACCTTCAACAACCTCCACCTTCTGAAACAGACTTGGCATATCTTTCCCAAGGAGTTCTCCGAATTGGAGCGAACCGAAGAGGTCCCATGCCTCAGTCACCGGAACGCCCAACTCTAGCTCATGCTCAAGATGCCCAGACATCTTTGATTTTCTCAACACTGCAATAGCTTGATATCTCCAGAATTTAAATTGTTGTGTCTCTTTGATGAGTTGTTTTCTGCTGAGTTGTAATGTGTGGTTTATATGATGGCAATAAATGTCATGTGGGCACAGATGTATGGATATCTTTGGCTTCAGAGTTTGTGATCACAATGATTCCCCTTGATTTATTCATTTTTTCCTTTCCTCCTCTGTGAAGTAGTGGGTGGATGTAATCAATTGGAAGAATATTGCGGAAAATCAAATCACATTATTCTGTTATTTTTAGTTATATAGATTTTTTAAAACATATGAATACATCCTGTCTAAAAAAATTAAATTATATGAAAATTTTTAAATTCATAACCTTTGAATTTTATTTTAAACATTAGTGCAATTTTTTTATGTACAAATTTTTTTGCTATTTTATATGATTATTATTTTAGAAAAAAAAAAGATAAAAAGCCACATCATGTAGGTTATAGTGTGATGCCTAATTGACTAGTCCATACGAGGCCTATTAATAGCCCAATGGACCGGCGTGTGTTTTTTTTTTGGACAAAATTGCTGTTGGTAATTTTAAGTATACTTTGGAGCATGGGTTCCAATTAACGTTACTCGATGCAGCCCGATGATTTCTTATTTGATGTTCGCCGACGACCTACTATTGCTTGGAGTAGTGACCGAACCACAAATACAGTGTGTACTTAACCACCAAAAAAAAAAAAAGAAAAAAGAAAATTGTATGGCTTCGGGTGAGAAAGTGAACCTCAACAAGTCTTCCATGTTGTTTTCCCACAGTGTTTGGATGCAACAAAGGAAGAGACTAGAAGCAGTGTCGGGAATGAAGTGGGCTTGAGACATCGGAACTTATCTTCGGGTACGGATTCAAAGGAAATCGAAAGGGAAAATTTCAATGAAGATCACTTGACCTAACTTAATTTAAGTTAAAGCTCATAAAATTCTAAAACTTCATTGCACAATTGGAAGACTAAAATGAAATTAAAAAATTGACTAAAGTGACCTTATTATCCCTAATGAAATTTGGTGTATAAACAACTCGTGTGACAACAATGAATTGATATATGAAAAATTTATAACTCTCATTAATAGTATAATATCACTAAAAATTTGTAACTATCATCCTACTTATGTTAATTGTTTATGTGCTTAGCTTGACTTATTTATAGTGACGTTATGCTGCAAGAGTCAAAAATTCCACTTATGTCCCTTGTACATTTTCCATACCTCATTTATTTTTCACACATCAATTATTCAAATATTAGGGATAATAAAATCATTTCAACTGGCTTTTAATTTCATTTCCCTCACATGTGTAATGAAATTTCAAAATGTTAGAGGCTTTGATTAAAATTAAATTGAGTTAAGGAATCTTCATTGAAATTTGCCCAAAAAGAAAAGAAAACCCCAGTTTAGGTACATTGTTGATGCTTGATAAGGTGCAAGCAAGTGGAAGTCATCTTGTCTTTCTCTGGCAGGAAGAATCACATTAGCTCGAAATTTTTGAAGCACTATTCCTATTTACCCCATGCACGTGGCTCAAGTGCCTATTACAATCTGCAATGAAGTTTAAAGCTTGCAAAGAAGATTCACTTGGGGAGATCTGCACAGGGAATGTCACATTATCCGATTGGATGGGACAAACTGTGTCTTCCTACCGTTAACGGAGGCATTGGCTTCTCTTGATAGAGCTTGTTGTGGAGAAAAGCTAGATTGGTCTCTGATGAATAACCCTGGATCTTGTGGGCTGACGTTCTGAAGGAGAAATGTATAAGGCCTCGGAATGCTGCTACGTGGTCAGTCAAGAGCAATGGCTCTCCAACCAACGTGGAAGTTCATTTGTGACCAACAAGACATTATCAAGCCTGGCATGTGTTAGCCAGTGAGGGATGGCCATACGGTAAAATTCTTTTCTGACCCTTGGATCAAACCCAATTTTTGCAATAAGGATGTATGCATAAGGCCTATCTTGGAACCAGAAATTAATTCTCTAACTGCTGATTGGGTGAGTAATGGCCAGTGGGATTATGCATTATTACAAGATTTAGGTCCCATTTTGATTGTTAGAAAGAAATGAAATAAAATGCATTGAAAAAATAAAGATAAAAATAAAATTATCAAAATGTGGAGAAGGATAGGTGAACCATGTTCATAAAGGAGAAGAGTAATTTAGTTCATGGGACTATGAATTAAATTCATGAAATTTTTGAAAGGTGTGATTCTTACATTTGTGGTATATAATGTTGAGTTTCATCATGCTTATCATAAGAAGGAGGGTGATCTAGTAATTCATTTTTATTTTTATTTTTTTAATCTATTTCATTCTCATCCCTTTCTAGTAACCAAACAGGTCTTTCGTTTTACCAGATGTTCTGAAGTTAATTATGCATTATTATATACTGGGGTGGTATAGTTCTGGTAATATCTCAATTAAGGATATTTATTTTATGATAGAGCATATTGGAAATCCAAGCTTTGCAACCCTTTATAATGCTATATGGAAATGGAGGGGCCATGAAAGAATTAGAGTTTTCTTATGGCTCCTGATTCAGGATAAAATACTTGCAAATGTGAGACGGAGTAGGTGGAGTAATGCAAATCCTGTTTGTGCATGGTGCAATAATGAATGAAAGTATATTATGCATATTGTTTCTGATTGTCATATATGCCAAGTCGTTGTGGCTTAACTTAGTGCATCCCAGATGACAATCTGAATTTTTTTTACAAAGAATCTAGCTGAGTGGGCCTATTTTAATCTCAATTAAAAGTGATTTGTATATATGCTGAAGTTAAGTGACCTCAATTGTGGGGAGTTTCTGTGTACAACCTTTGGAATTGGTGGAACTTACATATTATTGTAATAATTGATGTGAAAAATTAACTTTTTATAACGGTTATATAATCAAATATGAAATGTCAACTTTTCACTTTTTTCTTTTTTACTATCCCTAATAATTGATATAAAAAATTTAAAATAATTGTTCTTAAAAGTTTATCTTGCAGTAGTGCATGAAACCTAATTATCCTTATCAGGTTTATTGTGATCTTTATTCTTTATCCCCATCTTTGAGTAATATGTAGATTGTACGTACTGGGCTTTAGCCCCTCTTTCTTATCCAAAGAAGTTGAGTGTATTTTCGTTTGTCATGTGGGTTTCTCATCTCTTGCTTCACCAAACACTTTCCATAGAGATGGAGTTTCGAGAGCGGGCGATTTTTCTAATATTACTTTTTGCAATTTTTCTTTAAGTTTCATGTTGATAGATAGATATATATGTGTGTGTGTGTGTGTTGTTGTATACGTGAATGTCATCCCTCTTCTATATAAGTAACTAGAGTTATATGAGACGAGATTAGAGTGCTAATTCATGCCTCAACTTTTTTTTTTTTGCTCCTTAATATAAGATAAAGTTAGAGTAATTAATATTTTTTTAACTTTATCCCTTATTGGTTATGATCATTTAAATTTTTAGACAATAATTTATTATGATTATTAATTGCAAAAAAAAGAGATAAAATTGGAAGGATATATATTTTTTAAAAACAACTTTAAGAATATAACTATTCATTCTTAATATGAAGGTAGTTAAATTTGTCTTATTTCAAGGATTATGTGCGTCTATATATATATATATATATATTGATGTTTGCTTTCAGCGGACCAAAGTAGCTAGAAAGGGTCCTATAGTATTGTTAAATTGTACATGTTTAATTTTCACCAAAATATGCGTAATTTATCCTTTTGAAATAAATTTGTCCTTTTATTTTAAAAAAACTATTTCATGAGATAATTTTTCGTACACACACACACACAAAAAGTACATGCGATTAGTATAAATTACCATGCCATCATGTGATTATTTCAATAAATATTAAGATACATTTCACATTAAAGTATCACAAAAACAAATATATATATATATATATATATGATATCATGTACATATAGTAGATTACGACATTTTATTTCAAGAGAAGTCATTAAAACATATATAGATGAGCTAGCTAGCTAGGCTTGTTGACCGACAAGCTTATTGTTTTTGTTGAGATGAAGTTTGGCGACTTGAGCAATGTTGGCAAGCTTTTGAATAGAATTTGAAACAATAGAATGAAGCTTAGCTGGAGCACCATGCCTGAGCTCATACTCAACTATTGACTTAATAATGCTTGATTCTTCTCCCTTCTCTATTACATGCAAGCGAACCCTAAACTCAGTGAACCCTATCTCTAAATATCCTCCTTCTATTATCTCAGTTTCTTTGATCCGATTCTCATTGTCTATCTTTATGATCTTCTCTTTGTATGTCGATGGTCCCGATGTACCTAATGAAACTCACCCCAAAGTCAGTGCAATATCTGTCAAAACAATATTTTGCATAATTTGTTTTGTATACTTGATTAATTATTCTCATAATTGGGATAAGTATAATCATGCAAAAGATTAAAAAGATCAATAGGACAAGGTATTGAAACCCAAACCAATTATTGAAGTGATCAAGGTATATTAGTGGTTCAAGGATCAATAATGATTCAAACTGTGATTGAATTGAGGTTAATTTGTTTATGATTAACTTAAGACAATGCCATTTTAGACTAATCAGTGAGAAGAGAGAAAATACATAAAATTTAACTCATTAACCTGTCCAAACTTAGAAGCCACGCCGATCAAGGAAGTGGTTCACTAGTTCACTAGTTTGACCAGCCAAACCGGGATTAGATTTTGATACCATGTCATATAATGAGGAAAAGTGATCGATTATTTATATTACCAGGTACAAATGCAAATTTGAGGATAGTTCCAACTCCTCCATAGCCATCAACAAGCTCCACCTTCTGAAACAAACTTGGCATCTCTTTCTCAGCAAGTTCTACGATCCGAAGGGTGCCGAAGAGATCCCACGCCGCACCGGCTGGCACATCTAGCTCTAGCTCATGCTCGAGTCTCCCAGACATCTCGTTGATTTTTTGCTCTGATGATGAATTATAGCTTGATTCTTCTGATACAACATATGAAGGCTTCTTATGTTAAGGTTGCTTTCAGATTCTTCTGAGTCGTCTCATATAGTTTATATCGTCATAATTAATGAAGAAGATTAAATAACGACGAATCTTAGAATTTTTAGTCACAATATATTGGCTCCCTAAGATTCCCCAAATATGCTGTCGTATACTAACTTTTTTGTGTTTTTTTCTACTTTATTTTATTATTTTTTAATTTGTAATGTAGTATGTGGATGTATGAAATTTTGGATGATTAAAAAGATGACTATGACGTGATTATCTTGGTACAACTAAACAAATACGAATTCAGGATTTTTTAGATAATTAAATATATTCTTAAACCTTGTTAAAATTATATAATTTTTCTTGTTCCCAAAACTTGAATAGCTGGCCCAAAAAAACTTGTGTAGAATTTTAGGTCAAACTACCCCTCTTGAATTTTAAGTCCAGTAGTATCATAGACACTAAACTTATTCCCTTAACTTTTAAAAATAGTACAATTTAGCCCTTGCCATTAATAAAAGTTAACTTTAATTATTAATTGATTAAAAAATAATAAAAAAAGCATCAAAATTATAAAAAAAATAAAAAATTATAATAAAGGACCCAAAAATTACAAAAAATGATAAACAAATTTTGGACTCTTTTGGTAGTTTTTGATATCCTTTTGTAGACAACTTACAATCAAAGTTAACTTTTGTTAACTGTACCATTTACAAAAGTTAAGGCAATAATTTACACAGTAAATGAATTTAAGATTTATGGTATCACTAAACCTAAAGTTCAGAGATAATTTGCTCATTTATCCTAGAATTTTCTTAGTCATATATAAATGGTAAATTATAGGCTTCTGATAAATTTTGTTAAAATTATACAATGTATTTTTCTAATTCTTAAATTTAAGAAAACAGTTATTGAAGATATGAAAAATAAATCATATTGATTTCTTTTATGTATCAATGTAATTACAAAAAAAGTCTCGTTTCTATTTTGAATGATAGTTTCTGTATAATTTTAAACGAAAGGGCATGTCTGTTTAAAGTGTAGTTTCAAAACACACACACACACACACACACACACACACACACACACACACAATATTTTTTTTGAAAGTCTATGTTGGTACTGAAAAAAATTATGTAATTTTAATAAAAATGAAGAAAAACCTGTATTGAGTTTGAAAATAGAAGAAAAATCTATTTAAGTTTGGAAAAAATTAGAAAATATAAATAACTTATTTTTTATGACTGCATGATGCCAAAAAAAAGTTTAGATGAGAAATATTAACCAAGTTTACAAACTATTTAATATCTTGGGTTTTTAAGCGGAGTTAACTTAATATTAAATTGAAGTACTGAAGTCATTAATCTCTCTCTCTATCTCACCCAACCACACTTGCATCCACACAAAAGCACAACCACAAACTTGGACTATTATTTAACTATTCCATTACGTAATTTCCACACAATTAATTACATTATATATAGTAGATTACGACATTTTTAAGTCATCAAAAGATAATTATCAAAAATATTTTGAGTCAAACCATAAAACATAGAGGACTAATCAGTTGGGTTGATTAGCAAGCTTGTTTTTGTTGAGATGAAGTTTGGCCATTTGAGCAATGCTGGCTAGAGATTGAATTGCATTGGAAGCAATAGGGGCATTGGCCAAAGCATCTTCCTTAAGTTCATACTCAACTGTAGATTTGACAATGCTCGAATCTTCGCCTTTCTCTGTCACTTCAAACCGAACCCTAAACAGAGTAAACCCTAGCTCCAAATACCCTCCTTCGACTACTTCAGTTTCTTTGATCCTATTCTCATTGTCTATCTTCGTGAACTTCTCTTTGTAAAATGCTGGCCCTGGTGTACCTAATCAAATTCACCCCAAATTCAATACAATTAATATTAAGAACTAAAAACAGGAAAATTTAGGTAAATAATTTGCGACGAATGTAATAAAGATCTGTCTTTACCAAATATTTTCGTCGCATTTATTTTGCTCTTGGGACGAATTTTTGTACATCACAAATTTACGTCGTAAATTTAATTTTAATCATGGTTATATAGGTTCATCGACAATAAAATTCTTTTGACAATTATCTATAGAATATGAGGAAAAGCTAAATACTTACCAGGTGCAAATGTTAATTTGAGGATAGTTCCAACTCCTCCATCACCTTCAACAAGCTCTACCTTCTGAAACAAACTTGGCATCTCTTTCTGAACAAATTCTCCAATCCGAATCGTACCGAAGAGATCCCACGCCGTGCTTGCCGGCACGTCCAGCTCTAGCTCATGCTCAAATTTCCCAGACATATCTTTGATTTTCTGGATTGAATAGCTTCTTCTGATCCAAAAGATGAATGCTTCTTTTATGTTTCTTTGGGATGCTTCTGAATCTGATATAGTTTATATGTTTATAATGAAGGCCGAATAGCGACAAATCTTAGGCTCTAGAATTTTCAGTCACAATGCTTCTCTAAGATCCCAAAATATGCTTTACGTATGCCAGCTTTATTTGTGTTTTCCTTTTCTTGTCTCTATTATTATTACTCTTTTGTCTAGTAGTGTATAGATGTATATGAAATGGGAATAATAATAATAAAACAGAAAAAGGGAATAAACTTTGTGGATCAGTATCTAGCTCGGTGCAAGTAAACACATGATGAACTCATCAGGGCTTTATAGAAAATATTATTGGTTTTTTCTTAAATCTTTAATATTATATGAATTTTTTTACTTCCATATATAACTCGTAAGAGTTTTTCTGATCAGTGATATAAAACGTAAATTGTACGGACTTCAAAAGAAAATCTGTTAATATTATAAATTTATGTCTTCATCTCTATTTTTAAAAATGGAAAAAAATTCTAAATGAAGATAGAAATAAATTATATTACACAAATATATTTTCTATCTTGATAACAGTTTGTGTATGTAATTATCCAGCGAAAACATTTTCTTTGATGAATTTTTGGAAAAAGATGCTACTGAGGTGAAATATATTGTGTTAGCTGGGTTGTCATATAATTTAAATGTTAACTTTTGTACTTTTGATTATTACCCCCTCTCTCCCATTCCAATGTAAACTCTTTTTGAGTTATGAATGCATTTCTTTCTGTCATGTGCCAAAAATAGAGGGGATCAGCATGAAATATGCATCTGAACATACATCCTTTAAGCCTATTCCAAAAAAATTTCTTTCTTGATAGTACTTTTCATTTTAATGAAACACTAATATTTTTGTGAAAATTCTGACAAAATTTTCTCTATATGTAGGATCTCCCGAGACCTTTACAATACAATATACATCCAGCAATACAGAGCTCTGCTTCTCAACAATAGGTAGACAATATAATAAAAGAGAAGCAGGACCCTAACTATAGTCAATGTGAAGCACTCTAAATTGTATTCCTAAAATATACTACATAGATTTTAGAATTTACATGAAAAGAAAGATATTCTCATAATTAATATTTACATTAAAAGATGTTTCCAAAATAAATATCCACCCAACTCAACAAAAGCCCTACAGTGATTAGCAAGACATACAATATTAGCTATACTATATGTGACCCAATCAATTACTTTTTAGTAAATAACGTCTCAACCATAACATTTTGCAGAATCAAAATGAATAAACTATGACATTTACATAAATTAAAGAGAATACAATTTAATGTAAATAAATTTGTAAACTCAAAACAAAAGTTCTATAGAACTTCAATATCAAGAAACTTTAAATCTATAATGATAGAGCAACATTTAACATTTGATTTTGACAAGTTAAAATAGTTAAATAAATAAATAAGAATAGAATATTTACTAATTAAAAAGCATTAAGTATGAAATCACCAATTTATTAAAAATTCATATTTTTAGAGATTTCTCAAAATAATTCACAAATGTGGACAATGTATCCACGAAGGTGAATAACCAAGAATACACATTTTACGAGGGTAAGTAACCAAATATAATCAAAGTTATGAAACAAACGTGGACGCACAGTCCGCGAGGGTAATGCTAATCAAACGCAGCTTGAAACCACAAAAACAAATATAGGTACAAACCCATGAATAACAAACATGAAAATAAAGCTCATAAAAATCAAACTAGCTAGTCATTGACCATAGTGCGCCAAGAGCTAACAAAACTGCCGTTAGCAACCAGTGTTATGTGAAAAATTCCCTCCAAATCCATTTTCACACATGCGAGAAAGTTATCATTATTAAAATACAGTTTTTATTTTCAAAATCAAACTTACATGAAGAATTTTGAGCATTAAAAACTTGCCAAAATACAATTTCATAACGGATGTCCATGCTTGCATCTATTGAGAAACCAATATTACCAAAACTGATAAAAATAATTTCATCAATCTTGAAAGTATCTTTAGTAAGGAAAAACACATACACGTTATAATCTAAATATCCTTCAACATCTCTTTACAATTTCCCAAGACAAAGATAATTTAATTAACAAAGTATTAAATATGTAATATAATTTTTATTAAATGATCTATGAAAAAAATATTTTTGGAAAAAGAATCTTTATTGATGAATTAGTTAGAACGCTACTCACTTACCTATAGTATCTTCAAAGTTCAAAACTCACTTCTTACAACTCCAATCAAGTTACTCTTCTTACAAACACTCTATAAAATATAATAAAATCTTAATGAACTTTACTTTTGAACTAACAAGTCTCTTTTTAAGAGAATCCATTTAACCTAAATTAATAATAACAACTTTGAAGTTTTGGCAACAAAATTCATACATAAAGATTACTTCTTAGGTTTTTTTTTTTTACCAAACACCTAATGTGCGACACTCCATACCAATCAATAAAACTTGTAATCATTAATTCTCTTACCCAACCATTTCCAAGCCTCCAAGCATGATTTCTAAAATAATAATATACTTTTCAAATTATCAACCATATAACTCTCAATAATCCAGAACTCAGATAAAATCTCAATAACTTCTTAAATAAATTCCTTTGGCAAAACCCAATTTAGATTTACAAATAATACTGTCCAAGCATTATTATTCATGTCACTAATTTCTCCCATAATGCTTTAGCCATGCCAATTTATTTACTAGAGATAAGATTTTCTCTTAGGCTTTGCATCAAACACTCTAGATGCATTATTTCCAACCATAAAATTAGAATTTTCTAACCTTCCATCTTTTATCCAACAATTTATCAATAACTTTACTATCCCCAAAAATTTAAGTAGTTACATACCAATTCATAATCAAATTCCTTAATTTGCAACCTACAAGCTAAATTCTCCTAAGGAGCATTTTATCGAATACCTTATGAGCATAAATCTTCTAACTAATATCAAACTTCCTTTTCCTTAAATTTCATTTCCCAAATTTTCTAATATCAATAATTGAAATATTCCAGCTCTCCCATTTAAATCATTCAGCAGATATAATTTTTAATACTCAAGAAAATTCAACTTTCCAACTTTGCATTACTCACAATTTTGCAGAAAAATGGAGGAAAAACTGACAATCTCCACCCATAATCATATGTACACAGCAACAAGGAAGTGAAAGATTAAAGCTTCTTACCCCAACAAACCACTAACAACACAAAAAAGGAAGGAGAAGAACACGGTGAAGAAACAGAGGAGGGAAGATTTTTGCTTTTTGGACATAGCTACAATGGAGGAAGGAAAAGAAGAGGCTGACAGTAACCTCCAACAACAGCTACAAGACCCTCGTACGTGCACCTCTTCTCCAACGACCTACTTCTCTTATAGATGACGCCGGCGATAACAAGAGAAGGGGAATTTTGATCTGTTACAGCAACCAAAGAGGAGAGAAATGAGGAACCATAATGAATGCTGTCAAGCTTGCCTACGAGCTGATCGAAAATGGAAAGAGTATGAAGAGATCTTAGGAGAAAGGAAGAGCTCTCTCACTTGGTCTGGAATGATTGAGAGAATGAAGAAGCAAAAGATCAAGAATGAACAAAGGCCCCACATAAAATGTGTCTGCCTTCTTCTTTGTTTTTTTATAAGGATAAAATGGTAATTTGTTAAAGGCTGAAGAAAAATGATAAAAACTTTCACCCATGATCTTTGAAAGGTTCAAACTTAGGACCAATTAAGTAAGTAGTTGCATTGCCTCTACTAGACCAGCTCTTCATATTGCTAAATTGCTAAATTTATCCCAAAAACTAATAAAAATACTTTTAAATTTTATTAAAAAATTTTGGGTTATTACACTTTCATTAAAAAAACATTGCGTTGAATTATGCAGAAAACATGGTGATGGCTAGAGAGGTGGATTTGGAGGGTAGTTAACGTTTGAGAATCAAAGAGGTGGTGAGATTGTTGTAGTTTTGTGAGTATGTGTCAAAAGAAAGTCCCATATTGTATAAGTGGGAGGAGTTTGATTTGTATAAATAATAAGGAGTGGTATCAGGGCAACTAAATGGATACAGCTAGACAGCAACATGTAACACACTAGAAATGTAGTTGATAACAATTGATTTGTCCTTGTTGTGTGCAAGTTAATCATGTAAAGCAATGGTTTTTGTTTTACCAAAATTATTTTTGCAAGAAATGTTTTTGCTATAATTCAAAATCATTGGGAGCTGTCGCAATTTTACAAGTATGGTGGAGTAGTTCGTAAATGATAATGTCCTTGAGCACAACTTAAATTGCAAACTATGCTGCTACTACCAACAAAGATGGAGCCCACTTGAGATGAGGTGGCTATCAATGTGAAACTTGTAGCAAGAGAGGGCAATCAATTTGCCAATGCCTTGGAAAATTTGAACTTTTGGCTAATGGAAGGAAGTGGATTGAGTGAGGTTGTTGTGTTTGATAGAGAGGTTTGCTTCTTTTTTTTTTAACCCACAAGTATCTTTTCATTAGAGGCAATCTTGTTTAAAATACCAACAAACATTAAATATGGGCACTTCTCTTAACAAGGATCTAAACCTTCGTTCCTCACATTGTAAGAAACTAACTCATTGTGTTAAACCTACCTAACAGTTGGTATTTTGGGTTTGGTTTGAGAGGGGTTGAGTTGTTCTTTGGTGTACTTTGTTTTTATTTTTTTTAGCTCTTGCCCTATTTCTTCACCAAAAGACATTAACTTGCATTGGGTTTTTAAAGTGAAGCTTGCTTTATATATTATATTTAAGGATAAAGGGAAAAAAATACTCACAAAATGGTTAGCCAGGGATACCCAATATCCTAAAGTAAGGAAAAAAGCAAAAATATTCACAACATTACATGGATGGATGCAAAAGTAACCAAACCATTAACTTTGACTTAATGCCGTTAATTTTGACCATTAAATGCTGAATGTGCATGTCACGTGTCAGTTTTTTTTGATGTGGACTAATAAAGGGGCAAAAATACCTACAAAGTAGTGGCCAGGTGTAAAAATACCCATAATATTACCATAGTT